ATATTTTATTATAAAATATATAATTATTAAGTTACAAAATTCAAGTAATTAACTCATTTCATTTTTTGTTGTCATGTTTGGGTAGTAACATAAAAAAAAATAAGTTTTTTCACAAAAATAAAAAATAAAAAATAAGTTTAGTAAAAATTTGAAAAGAAAAACAATAAGCAGCTCTTTAAATTTTACTTTTGTTCTTTCATTTTATGGTGTATTGACATTGGGATAGTAAAAAAATTCTTTAAAAATATTTGATCAGGGGAAATTTGACCAAAAAGATTAATTTTTTTATATATTAAAAATACATGACAATTAATTTTTTTTTTTACGAATGAAAAAATTAAACAATTTATTATAATTGTAACAACTAAAATTAAATAAATATAGTATACATCACATTTCATTTTTGGTAACTTTTTTATCCAGTTAGTTCTTATAAATTGCGTTAACATTTTTTAAAATTCTTTTTTTGAGTAATTAAAGATACATTAAATATAAATTTAAAAGCTAAAAACTAATAAGACATACGGAATTCAATCCCTACAATGTCAAAAATACAAAACAATTTAACACAGTTCGAGACATCTTCAAACAAACAGAAGTCCTGAGGAACAGGGTACCTCAGCTTTACCATTTGATCAGCCGACATTATTATTATTATTATTATTATTATTATTATTATTATTATGACAAAAACAATGATTAAGAGTTAAAAATTAAGAATTATGAGTTAAGAATTAAAAGTTAGTACTTAATTTTTTAATAAAATTTAACCACTAATCAGAATACATTTTACTGACAACCTTTTAAACTGTAGTGACACCACAACAGAGAATGCGATCCCCCAACATATCTGGCTCACTAACAAAATTTATTGTGTAGATCATTTTAATTTCTGGTAATTAATTATTTTTAAATACAAATTTTAATTTTGATTTTAACAACTATATTACATGTTAAATTATCATTAAAACTATGATAAAATTGAGGTCAAATTTTTTTAT